ATAGAGAAAGAGGCAGGACGGACCTTAAAACGCAGTATAATAAAAGATCCGCCCTCTGTATTTCAGATATCTTACTATTACAGGGCGAAAGTTAATTTTCTTAGAATAAAAACTAGAGAAAGAGGCAGGGCGGACCTTAAAACGCAGTATAATAAAAGGTCCGCCCTCCGTATTTCAGATATCTTACTTTTACAAGGCGAAAACTTTGAACAGGGTTAATTTTTTAGCATAAAAACTGGAGAAAGAGGAAGGGCGGACCTTAAAACGCACTATAATAAAAGGTCCGCCCTCCGTATTTCAGATATCTTACTTTTACAAGGCGAAAACTTTGAACAGGGTTTGTTTTTGTAGCATAAAAACTAGAGAAAGTTGCAGGGCGGACCTTAAAACGAAGCATAATAAAAGGTCCGCCTTTTGTATTTCAGATATCATACTATTACAAGGCGAAAATTTTGAACAGGGTTTATTTTCGTAGCATTAAAACTAGAGAAAGAGGCAGGGCGGACTTTAAAACACAGTATAATAAAAGGTCCGCCTTTTGTATTTCAGATATCATACTATTACAAGGCGAACATTTTGAACAGGGTTAATTTTTTAGCATAAAAACTGGAGAAAGAGGCAGGGCGGACCTTAAAACGCACTATAATAAAAGGTCCGCCCTCCGTATTTCAGATATCTTACTTTTACAAGGCGAAAACTTTGAACAGGGTTTGTTTTTGTAGCATAAAAACTAGAGAAAGTTGCAGGGCGGACCTTAAAACGAAGTATAATAAAAGGTCCGCCTTTTGTATTTCAGATATCATACTATTACAAGGCGAAAATTTTGAACAGGGTTTATTTTCGTAGCATTAAAACTAGAGAAAGAGGCAGGGCGGACTTTAAAACACAGTATAATAAAAGGTCCGCCTTTTGTATTTCAGATATCATACTATTACAAGGCGAACATTTTGAACAGGGTTTATTTTCGTAGCAAAAAAACTAGAGAAAGAGGAAGGGCGGACCTTAAAACGCACTATAATAAAAGGTCCGCCCTCCGTATTTCAGATATCTTATACTTTTACAAGGCGAAAACTTTGAACAGGGTTAATTTTTTAGCATAAAAACTGGAGAAAGAGGCAGGGCGGACCTTAAAAAGCAGTATAATAAAATGTCCGCCTTTTGTATTTCAGATATCATACTATTACAAGGCGAAAATTTTGAACAGGGTTTATTTTCGTAGAATAAAAACTAGAGAAAGAGGCAGGGCGGACCTTAAAACGCAGTATAATCAAAGGTCCGCCCTCTATATTTCAGATATCGTACTATAAGAAAGCAAAATTTTTGGACAGGATTTATTTCTGTATCATAAAAACAAGTCAAAATGGCAGGGCGGACCTTAAAACGCAGCATAATAAAAAGTCCACCCTCTATATTTCAGATGTCTTACTGTTAGAAAGCAAACATTTTGGACAGGATTTATTTCTGTATCATAAAAATTAGAGTCAAAATGGCAGGGCGGACCTTTAAACGCAGTATAATAAAAGGTCCGCCTTTTGTATTTCAGATATCACACTATTACAAGGCGAAAATTTTGAACAGGGTTTATTTTCGTAGCATAGAAACTAGAGAAAGGGGCAGGTCGGACTTTAAAACGCAGTATAATAAAAGATCCGCCCTCTGTATTTCATATATCTTACTATTACAGGGCGAAAGTTAATTTTCGTAGCATAAAAACTAGAGAAAGAGGCAGGGCGGACCTTAAAACGCAGGATAATAAAAGGTCCGCCCTCCTTTTTTCAGACATCTTACTATTATTACTATTACACATAAATAAAAAAAGAAATAGCCGCTAAAAGTCGTAGAAAATCTAATTTAAACCAAACTCAAGATCAAAATAAATATAAAAAAAAATATTAATAAAAGAACACGACTTGGTGGTGTTTTATGAATTTTTATATTAGTCACGATTTCAAGAGACACTTTCCTTTTTAATTTACATGTCAAGTTGCTCTGTAAAACCCCCCTGTAAATAGTATGGGTGGATAAGATTCTCCCTAGTAAGAGATGGAAAAGGAGAAAATTCTGTACTGAAGCGTATTTCCTATGGTGCATAATTAAGCCGGGGTTGTTTCTTCCAAGCTCGCTGCATGTCATTTCCGGAATTTTGCATTGCATTTCCGACATTTTTTGTTTTCATTTTTAACATTTTTTTAATTTTCATTTCTGACATTCATTTTTTTTTACGTTTCCGGAATTTTTAAGGCCCCTTTCTGACAATTTATGTTAACCAAGCAGGTGGAATTGGAATTTTAACAGGATATTAATATTTAATATAACATTTATGTCAAATCCCATTTTTCCGATTAAAAACATTACAATACATGCAACACTAAGTCTAGTAAAAATACAAAGTCTAGTAATAAAATGCAATAAATAATTTCAATAATAAAACATGCAATTTTTGATCACCACATTTTAATGCCCATTGAATTATATGTGTTTGAAAGCACCGAAAAACAGAATCCCCTCAACTATGATTACTTTATTCCCTCAAACATAGTTTCTGTATGTCATAAATTCTATCTTGAAGTAACCTTTCTGATCTCAAATTCAATCTGATTATCTTGATATGAAAAGATGAACAAAAATTAAAAACACTTACATGTGTCCGAGGACAAAATCATCATAAGATTCTTTTAAATATAAGCAGAACTTATTACATGTATGTGGAAATCAATTAATTATTCTTGATTTATTCTTTAATTTTTTTTATAAGGGAAATTTCAATTCTGTTTTCATTGCCGGAAAAGTACTTTATGAGAAATGTCAGAGATGAAAACTTTAAAATGTCAGAAAAGAAAACTACAAAATATAGGAAATGTAATGAACAATATTTAAAAAAATTCCGGAAATAAAATCCTATGCTAGGCTCATTTTCCAAAAGGGGGAGGGGTCTTTAAACCCAAGCTCGTTTTTCCGGAAAAAAATATTAATGCAGGAGGAAAGTGTACAACACCGGTATTTTTAAAACTATTTGACATGTATCGACATAATTTTGCTATACCCCACCCACCAAAAATACAACAAGACCAGTTAAAATCTTTTCTTTTTTTTTTGGGGGGGGGGGGGGGGATGGTTGGTGTTTTATTGTTTGAAATGTTCAATTCGATTGACTTCGGTTTGATTTTGCCAATTAATGCACATCTTCCTTAACCAGTATTAACCCCGGGGTAATATCAAATAGAATGATATAATCGTTAGTTTTTTAATTGGATAAGAAACGATGGTTATAAAACACGGGGGATATGCAACTTCAAGTTTCGTCAAGTGAGAAAATAGGCCTACCCTCAATGCACTGACATGTTGTTTTAACAACAACGGGGTATAGGCTAGTACACCGTAACACAAGTCCCTGTCACAGTGACCCTCCAATTATTTTATAGTTAGCTACAATATGATTCGTAAGAATTATGCATAATTCTTATTAATAATATAACGAAATATCTTTTGAAAGATATGAAAATTCGTTTTGGGAAGTGGAAGTCGAACGTTGTTAGGAAAGAGACTGTAATGAAATGATCATTGTTGGACTTACGAACACTGTATACTTAACAATGTGCCAGTGAAGGTAAACGTATTATATATATGTATTTTTTTCATTTTGCAATGATAATATTGATATCACTTAAACTATAAAAGATACAAGTCGTACATGATTTTCCCATAAGGTAACTCGATCAACAGATCTTTTGCATTTTTATATTTTTTTGATTTGTGCACTACCTGGGAGGTATGTACATGCACTAAGATAAGGAGCTAACAGTTAATCCTTACATCAAATTTTGAATAATTTTTTGATAGATAATTTGAGGTTATGTACTGAAATATTTGATAGCATTAGAAATATAATTAATTAAAATTGACTAACGAAATCAGCAACAAGCGAGATATCGCAAGACTTGATCCTGTTAGTATATATATATATATATATATATATATATATATATATATATATATATATATATATATATATATATATATATATATATATATATATATATATATACACACAATGTACATTTACGTCCCTGGAACTCCATTTTGCTAGGAGGGACACTATTATAACAACTATACGTTAAATAATTTAAAAATATAAATTAAGCAAATTAATTTTTAAAGGAGAAAAATCTGCATATAAAACCGAGGGCGGACCTTTAAACGAGGCGGACCAAATATTATGCGACACCGGTCGACAGGGGATGCTTACTCCTCCATGGCACCTGATCCCACGTCTGTTTTCAGAGGTTCTTGCTAGCTCTGCTCACTAATTGTATTGTTTAAATGGAGTTATTTCGAGCCTGATCAATGTTCGTCTTCAAATAATTAAAGATGTCTTTAATTATTTGAATGTATGTCAATTTGGCGCTCCATATTTAAGCAAAGCATAGTCTCAACAGGTATATAGGCCTAGAACGTATACCAAAATTTATTCTCTTTAGAGAAGTGGATGTAGGCGAAAGCCTGTCCACTTCTCTCAACGCAAAATGTAACTCAGATTAATTTTGGGCTTCTCCCACTAAATTGAAAAATTGAAGGGAGGCATTCAGGACAGACGATATACGTTCCTCAATAATATATATTTTTTTCTTCTAAGATTTCGTCATTGAAGTATTGCTACTTTAACATGTTTACTCGAAAAAAAATTGAGGTACCTTACCAGGCATTTGTGCAAGGTACCAGAGGATGTTGTTTCCTATAAAATCCTTTTGGAAAAAACTTAATTTTACCAATATCACATTTTTTAGTGTTTCATTTTTTTTTTTTAAAGACAATTAGAAATCAGTTTAGAAATCAAAAGGTAATTAAAATTTTGAAAATATTTTCCATACAATACGAAGATATACAAAACAGATATTGGAGGAACGTATCGTCTGACCTTAACCTAGATCTAGGAAAGCTTGAACCTTTGTTATGGGGCGCTTTGACTGGGACTGTTTTCGTAGGAGGGCGTATTGAGAATGTTGTAGAATAATAGGATGGTGTATCTTTGTTACATTTGGATAATTTTGGCGTTTGCAACTGTCTTAGGATTCATAGTCACAACAGAGAAGAGATTACAAACAAAGTTTATTAACAATTTGTTCATTTTTGGAAAGTTTCGATACACAAAGGAGTACAACCTAACATCAAATTTTCTACAAGTCCCTAAAAGGTACAGGCATGGCAAAAGTAATGGAAAGTGAAAGTAGTAAAAGTAAAATGACACAAAAAAAAATCATAACACTCATTTTTTTATGCCTGTATATGTAATTGTTTATTATACATTTATTATAATTGTCAGTTCAACAGGTCACAGGTTAATCTTGTATAACATTATATATTAAAAAACAAAATAGATTTTATGTGGGATTTAAATTCATTTTTATTTTGCAGATGGTTCTACCACTTTTATCTTTTGGGGCTCATTGTTCACACACCTTTTATTGCTGTCATGGTGTACTCGGTCTGTTTGGCAAAGGAGTTTCCCAAACCGTTATCTTTAATTCTGAGTTACATTAGGAGTCCAGCATTACAAGAAGGTATAATGGGTTTATTAGTTAGAATAATCTAACTGTGTCTCGGGACAAGCCCTCACCACAGTTAGAATACGTCCCATATACTTGCAATGTAGCAAATCGGAGTGGATCCACTCCGAAATGATTTTGATTAATACAAAAGGAGTTGCACTGAAAATAACTACAAAATTAATCATAACAAACCTTTCTGAGATGGTATATGTTAAACCGGGTCCATAGGACAATATCATTTTAACGATAGAACATTCTATCTATGGGTTTATAATCTCAGTTGTTTTATGTTTACAGTATTTTTGTATAATATTAAAGCATTCCAGTTTGTAAAATTACATAGTATTAAACTTAGAAAAAATAGAAACTGCAATGATTTTTACAACATTAACCATGAGTAAGCACTGTTGGTGGAGCACCTGCCTAGATTTCAAGGGATATAGCTTTGAAATACATACAATCTGTGACATTTTCTTCATTCTTGTAACATTTGGTGCCTTAACCATATCCTGGAAAATTCAGGGTCAAGGCAGTTTAAGAGGAAGGAATCTATCATGAAGGCAGATACATTTAGAAACCAGAGAGCTTGCTCAGCTGAAATATTACCTGTGTCTATATATAATGGAGGGGAAGGGGTGAATCCTGGTGGGGCTTGTGTCTGTAATGGTTTGGGTCGTGGATATCGGCCTGGGTAGCTCAGTTGGTAGAGCACCTGTCTATTGATGCAGGGGTCCCGGGTTCAATTCCTGTTCCAGCCATACATTTCTCCTTTCCTGTTACAGAATTGGTGCCGTTGACCACCACTGGACTTGCAGGTGAAAGTCCTGCCAGGGGCTAATAAGAACTTGGGTTGTGTCTTTGAGGGCGAAGACAATTTAAGGAGGGAGGAATGTAATGGTTTGGGCCATGGATATCGACCTGGGTAGCTCAGTCGGTGGAGCACCTGACTAGTGATGCAGGGGTCCAGGGTTTGATTCCCGGTCCAGCCATACATTTCTCCTTTCCTGTTGCATGCCATTTTCTCTATATCCTGTATAGATGCATTGATGAATTTTGAAAACTAGTAAAAAAAAAATCGCTAATGAAATCCAAGAAAAATCTGCAGGGCTCGAAATAATTGATAGCCCACTAGTCTACAGTCAGTAAATTTTGGATCTGGGCTAGTGCTGGTTAACTAGACAAGTTCTAATTAGCCCTTTCATAATCATGATAACTGTGGTACTGCTCTTTTGCAGGGCAAATTAATCAAGTTTGGCAAAGTTTTGTTGGCAGATAACAGTTTTTGAAACTTACTGCAAAATTAGCCAGACATGCAGGGCTGACTGCAAGTAAAAGTTGTCAGCCCTGCCAAAGATCTACTCGCCCGAGAAAATAATTGTCTTTTATAAATTTGTTTTTAACGATTATGTGACTGGAACCAGGTCACCACAACTTCACACCAGAATCTATATAGACTGATGAATTCTTCCTCTTGGCTTGTTACACTTTGCTATCAATTCTATAAGTTGATATGAAAGAGATTTATCAAATATATGATTTTAATTATTGAAAATTTTAACAGGTCCAGCCGGGCAACAATACATGCAAATTTGTTCGCCCGCTGCAAAATTTGTGCGTCTCGGGCCATCGGGCGCACGGTTAATTCAAACACTGCAGATAACTAGATGATGTTTATTTTAAAAACAATTGATGCATCATATTTCACTAAACTATATTAATTTTCCCTGAAAAAGAGCTGTACTGCATTATCATGAATCAGTCTATTGGATACAAACTATTCCTTGTTTTATTAGATTGTACTAAATAATAACCCAATGTAAATTCAATATCACTGTAATTTTCTAAGAGCAAATAAATTGTCTTGATCATAATATTTAACAAAGTATATCTAGAGATCTAGTGTGATTTTTAAGGCATTGATTTAAAGGCCAGTCTTTTTCATATTTACTAGCCTAGTGGGAAAGTAAAAGTTATCAGTTGACCAGTAAAAATTAAAGTTAAATAGTCCAAAGTGACAAGTGAAAAAATACAATCAAACCTGGTTATCTCGAACTCGATGGGACCTGAAAAACAGATACCGGGTAGATTTCACAGGATTCAAGATACATATCCAGGGTAAAATACTTAAGGAAAAAGTGATTGGAACTTTCAGATCACCTAGACATATCCATGATATTCAATATCAGTGTTCGAGATACCCAAGTTCAACCTTATTTATTTAGAGCCCTGATCTAAGACAAAAACTTGTAAATATAAATAAAATATATATATATATATTTTCATTATATCCACAATTTTTGCAGAGTTACTTCCCCCTGCTCCAATAATTGTTGTCTTGTTGATGGGAGAGGTACAGATGTTTAGAAGACTATTGGAATGTGTCTACATCAACAGTTATTCTCCTGGAACAATGAGTGTTATCATCTACCTTACTGGAATCTCCTTCTACTGTCTTCAAGGACTCAATATTGTGTCAGTCATGCAGGAGAAATCACTCACATTCAGTTAGTATATCTATTAATATCTACATTGTGTATTCACCTACCATACATCTCATAAAGTATTCAGAATTAAGTATGTTAAGAGCAGCGACTGTCTCTCAGACTGAGCCAAGTTACAAGCCTTAGGGTTTAAAGAATAATTATATTGCATGAGTTTGAAATTACATGTCAAGTAAATAGGCAACAGATTGCAGTTCAAGTTTGGCAATGGATGAAAACACTTTTGTTAATACATACGCCATACCCAAAAAGAGGTAGTACATATATGTCATAAGTCTGTGAATCTCTATACCCTTAAAACCTTATTTCTTCATTTGATTTTAAAATTTTAAGCATTAAAAAAATTGAAAGTTAAGGTCTACAAAAATTTGTGAATGCCCTAGAGTAATCATTCCACCGTCTGTCCATCTTGACTTATTTTCCTAATAATGTCCTTCTTACAATCTTCTATTGTTTGAATTTGGGTTTTTTTTTTAAGTAGTTAGTATATTAAGACATGTTCAGACCAAAAAAGTTTCTCAAACACCTGTGCATTCGGTCTGACACTGCTGAATTGATCAATTTTATTTGGTTAAACCATTCAAATTCCCGGCCCCATGCAGCCTGATTCTTATGTTTTAAGTATCCCTCAGACAGGGCCTTTGCTGACCATTCATTTTCTAGTTGTATTTATATACAAAGATATTTTGTGTATATACCATGTATAATTACGAAGTCATCCTAGCTGAATACATTATATATCCCTGGATATATCCTTACATATGACCACATCTTGTTCATTTTTACAGGTGAGCTATGGATGGATCTTCACTGGTATCATTATCTCTTAGTAGTTGTGTTCATCTTCAGCAGTTACAAACAGCATGTCCTGAACAACATTTTAGCTAACCTAAGATGCAATCAAAAAGGTTAGTTTATTAACATTAAAGCTAATGAAGTCAAAGAAAAACTGGGACAATGCTTTATTATACATATTAAAAATGTATAATGTATGATATGGTTAAGATATTGTGATAGGTTTTAAGTACTGATATTTAAGATTTTTACTTGCCATATTGAATTTATAACATTTTTAGAGTAATTTCAACAAATATAAAATAAACACAAGCATTGTTATTCATTTCATTTGAAATAATATTGAGGGCTGGGTAAGTTAACTTTGGATTTTAATAGTGAAAAGTAAAATCTTCATAGATCCGTTCTATTTGAATACATCAAAATTTTACATAAATTATAACAAGTTAAGTTCAGTAATGGGAACTTACCAAACTTTTATATATCAATATAAAGTGTGAGAACCTTATATTACGATACATTTCCTCCCAGCTCTAGTTCAAAGCATCACTTTTTTTTATTCAATGTACATGTATTTAAATATCAGATTCCCCTCAATTTTAGGTAAAGTAGTAACAGACAAGCACCTGCTACCAGAGGGGGATTTATTCAAACACCTTTCTTGTCCTCATTTCCTGATGGAGATCCTTATCTACAGTGTATACACGGCCATGTTCTGGTGGAGACACTCTGTATGCAATGCTATATGGCTTTTTGTTTTTGTGAATCAAACTTTATCTGCTTACTTTTCTCATCGGTGGTATCAACAGACATTCCCTGACTATCCAAAGGAGAGAGCCCCTGTTATTCCATTTCTTTATTTTGATAGATGGATCAGCTCTCCACCTCAAAAGAAACTCTCATAATCATATACAGTATTTTCATTTTTTTTTTTTTATACTAGAGATGAAATATTTACAGTGTGCCTTGAAAATGCAAGAATTTTTTTCAGATACTTTATTGCTCAAGTTCTTTGCATGATTTACATGTACATGTAGATAAGGAAAAAAAAATTACACAGTAATAATTCTTTTTGGGATTGATGTGCTCTTTTGCGAGGGGATACTTTTCTTTTCAATGCCCTTGTTACAACAAGCACTCTGGAAAATGTGTCCTCTGCTTTTCACTGATGGGGTGAAAGTTTAAGGATTACAGACTGTAAAATTCCGACTTCTAAAATTTTCTCCCAACAGAGCTTGTTCATCCCCCTCTCCACTCATTTCATCAAGTTCCATCATTCAATTCACAGTCCTCATTTGTACTTTGATGCATAATACATTTGATAAAAAATGATCCAGTTTCATAGAAGTTTTACAGAAATCCCTTTAATTATACATGTATAAAGGAGAATGGCAATTTTGACAAACACAAAAATGACTCATAAATGCAAGGAAGATCTACTTCCTGTTTCTTGGACTTCAGTGTAGGTCAAATGATGCCATGGTGTAAAGATTGTGTTTGCCGGGGTGTTAGTTATTCTTCTAATGGAAAGCATCACCTACGAATGATAAATCCACAACTTTGGGTCTACTGCAATAATTGTCTATATGTATTTATGTATATAAGAAATAAAAAGTGAAGAATCGATCTGCATATTTATTTTATTTTCTTGATTAACATGTAGAGATGTTTAAATAAAGATTAATAATGTATTGTGAACAATGTATACAATAACTGGAGCTACAGAACAAGTTTCAATTTATACAGGGCTATCACATCAGTTGTATATATGCTAAAAACAAGATTCATATAGTACCCTCAATCAAAGTACTGAAATTACTGAAAGCCGGGCTTTAATATGTTCGAGTGTATTGTCTAATCCTAAATTAGTACATATTTGAAAATCTTTATTTCTGACCATTGATATTTAACAGGTAGAGTTTGTATGATTATGATTAACAATAACCCATCTAATAATAATTAAAATTTACGGTCCAGAACCCAACATTAAGACCCCAGGATAGGACTTGGTGATATTTTTAATGAAAATACATTTATACCTTTCTAAACATTAAGCTCACAATGGTTATGCATGGTAACAGTGCACTTTGAGTGGTTTTGCTGATTCATACAGGCACATATGTAGTATCGGAGGAGCTAGGGGTGTCACCATTTTTCAAACATAAACTTTTACAATGGACAATGTACATTGAAAGGTTGATTGACTCTTCACAATCAAATTTAAATTGGAACTTTCATCTCCTTCTTCGTAATATAAACCAGGTATTTATCACGAGCGACGAACAGATTTACTAAAAGCAAAATGGATAGTCTAATTTTAATTAGATTGTACCCATCATTTTCTTGTAGCATATTAAAAGTACGGTAATTTGGTAATGAATTAATGAAATTCGAAATGTGAAAGTAAGTTGTAGTCCACCCCTATTCCTTCTCCAACGGAATAGGATTTTCAGGTTTGGACAATTCTCCTTTTTTCTGATAATGATACTACATGCCTGTATTAATCAGAAAAGAAATATTCTTTATTTTTGGTCCTCTAGGAAACCAGCTGCACGAAAATTATAATTATCTAATCTTTATGACATGACTATGAGTCTAGTTCTAGTTCCAGGTTCGGCCATAATGGTCATTGCCTGAGAAAATCATGATGTATTCAGGTCTGTATGGCTCGTACATAGATGGCTCTTCATTCTGAACAGGAAGTTTTGAAGCAAAGACTAACCAACTTTTTCTGAAAAATTATAATGTGTTGTACTTAGATAAAGACTTATGAACATTTTTATATGTTGTTTTCTTTTAATTATATATTAACATAAACGATTTTTATTTCCCAGCACCCTTGAGAGCTTGCGTGTGTTTTAAGACCTTTTTTTTTTGGAATGCGCGCGCACGCTCAATATACTGTAAAGCACTTTGGGAGCACATTCGAGATGAATCCAAGGTGAGAAGTCTCGAACAAAATTTTTACATTCAAAACATACCATTGACTTTTCACCAAAAATTTGATCTGAATTTGTAAGCATAAAAATTTTCGACGCTAAATTGATTGTTAAATGGGTATAAATAATTTATATATTATTCATAAACATATTCAAATGAAATTTCTATCTTAAAGTTTACATTTTTATTTATTTATATTCCATGCTTCACAGAATATAAATCTTTATCCCAGTCATTTAAATTAATACTATTAAATTAAAATATTAACCAAATGGAATCGCATTGTTTATTTCATATTATGAAAGAAAACAAATAGTTTTGAACTTCATTTACATCACCTTTACACAAGATCTTAGTCGCTCGCGTGGCGCAGTGGTAAGAGCGTCTGCTCTAGAGTCGCGAAGTAAGGAGTTAATCCTTACGTCGCGGGTTCGAATCCCACTGTGGGACGTGGAGACCGGTCCTTCCGTTGAGACCGTATAAACCGAGGTCCCGTGTCGCAATAGGTGCTTGCACGAAAAAGATCCCTCACTGCTCAATGGCCGTAAGTGCCGAGTATAGGACAAAATTTGGAGCTCTCCACCGGCAAATGGTAGTGTCTCGATATGAGTGAAAAAATTCTCGAGAGGGACGTCAAACAACATACAAACAAACAAACACAAGATCTTAACCATCATAAGGATTTTTGTTCGAAATTATTTATTAGAAAGGAGAAAGTTATTTTAATTGCATTCAGGGTTATCGAAGTAATACCGTATTTTCAAACCCTTTTCTTTAAACGCATTCAAATTTTAACTTTTTTATTTGAGTAGTAATATATTGAAAACATTACAGCATTACCAGTATTACAACTGTAAGATTAATCTTCATGAATATTTACATACATACATCATTAGGCTAAAAAAAATTTGTTTGTTTCCGGTTATACCCGACTGACCTACTACACATTTTTTTTTTTTTTAATTCTACCAATAACATATGGCTAGTGAGGAGAATATATAAGTCATTTGTTTTATTTAATGTCACTAATTTAAACATTTAAGGTCACTTATTTTAACTTTTAAGAAAACAATTATTTTTTTTTACAAAAAATGTTTGTCTGTCAATTGCCAAACTTTTTTCAATAAGAATGTTGAACCATATGGTTTGCTGATTTTTCTTTAGATATATTTGAATTAGAATTTAATTTTTTTTAAAATTATATTCATATTGGTTTAATAATTTATGTAATTCATAGTTAAAGAAATGCACATATTTTTAGAGATATTCTTTAAGTTTCAAACAAACAGTACTTTTATCGCCGACTAGATACACCAGATACACCATGTACAATTGTCAGGCGACCTAATTCAGGCATAACGCACATTAATTAATTCTTTAAACTCCAATTTACTTATCTATTTATTTGCTGAAAGACAAAACAGAGAATATAACCACTCACATAACATCGACGAAAACGATATGAAATATATAGCAACCTGTCGAAAAGCCCGCGCTTATTGAAAATAGTTCGCGTACAATATGCATTCAGTAGTGTATGTGCACAAATTGTTATATCACGATTACCCTAATAAAGTAATTATCTAATTCCTCTTTCAATTTAATTCTCAAACAAAAATATTGATCAATTAACAATTCCGTAGATTGAGATGTAAAAAATATTTGTTTAAGTATCGTCTTTCAATGTGACTATTTTGTTTATCGGAAGCGTCTGCTTTGACGCTGTTAGGCTTTTTGTTTACTTTTCTGAACATGTGCTATTTATAGTAAGGCAGTCGATCACGATGCCTACAGCCAGGACTTTGCTTTCAGCAAAGCCCGGCTAAAAATCATATTTCATCCAAAATATCCATATCATCACAAAAATTATATACAAATTTAGAAATTACGACTGTATTAAATAATTGTTGACCAAATATAAAGACTCAACCTTGATTATCAATAGTTTGTTCAGCTGATGCAAAAAATGTAACGAAAATATGAAACAAGCTTCAACTGAGCTGCATTTAAAGAAATGTTTGTTCATTGTCAAAGCTCCAATCTAGGAATTAAAATCTACAACTTCACACAGCACTATCTCATATACACAAGTATTACATATGGAATGATTTGTCTAGAAAATAAATGTTTTCATCACCAAAAATATTGTCCTTAAACAACACTCGTTACACTGTAAATTTTATAACTTGCTTCACTGTAGATTTCATAAGGTAATCAAATGCCCAACATTAAGTTATGTGTCAACAGTTTGGCTTTACCCAGCAGTAGTACAATGTGATGTACTTTACACAGTGAAAGCTGCTATTAAAAACTTTGAGACAATGGATTTGATGCTATCTGGATTCATGGATCCCTTGTTTTTAAAAGTTATACAGATCAGGGACTATAACTTATAATTTACATGTACATGTGCAGGTCCTGATGAAATTGGCTGCTGTCATGGAAGCAAAAAAAAATTCAAATTCAATTTGACTAGAATACCGATTCCTGCAACTTTTTATCTACAATTCCACATAAACAATAGTGTCTTTATTTTCTAGTAATTGGAATAATTTAATCTACACCATTAATTAGTCCTCCAGATTTCGGAATGCTGTCTGCATTTCTTCATGCAAGTCATCATAATCCTGCTTTATCTTCCTCTCGCCATCTTTAACTGGATCCTAAATTAAAAATGAATTGCAAAATCAGAGGAGCAAGTTTTATTTTATATGAAAAGTTTCACTTTTCTTAATGTTACTTTTTGACTACAGAAAGTAGACATAGGTTGTATTATCACTATACACTAGCTATCAAATATGCCTATTGGAGCTTTTCCACAAAATATTTTTGATGTAAAATTTTTAAAATGATGGTTGAAAGTAGCAAGATTTTTTAAATGTGAAAATTACAAAATAAAGTGTACTCATGCAAACTTCAAGCTAATTTTTAAAACTGAAATTCAAACGAATCTCATGTTAAATTCTTACCACTGAACTTCATGAAATAGACACATCTAGATAAAAATGTATAAAACAATTGCTATCATGCATTTTGCACATGGATACAAAATCACCCTCTCTGTACCTTGAATTTCATGCTGCTGAGTTTATAGATGATGTCGTTCATTTGATCTCTGATAATGGCCCAGGTAATTTTATTCTCACTTTGTGCTGTACTCTCCACTGAATGCCTGGCCATGTCGTAGAATGCAATGATGTTCTTCAACATACCCACAGTCTTATAGAAGGGGCAGAATCTGCAACAAACATTAAGTCATATACATGTGACAAGTTTCAGACCCAAATACTATACAGGAGCCTTGATGATACTGGAATTTAGGTAAAAATATGGTATAATACTAAAAAAAAAACTGTAATAAAATTGTACAAATATTGAATATCTGTGAATTTGAAGTTTAAGCTTACATCTGTGCTCACGGATACTGTGTCATGGAAAATTTCAAACAGCAAGTGCTAGACTGATTACCTATCATAAGGGGTGTATCCATTCTGTTGTAAGAAATCATCCTTGATTAATTTAGCCACCTCCAGTGTTATCTTATCTGCCTCCGCAAGCGAACCCTGTAAAAAAGCTTCTGGCTGAACTAATGTAACGTTTGTATATTTCTTTTTTCATTGTAGTTTGAATACTATTTCTATAAAATATCATTACTCAAATGAACTATAGAACACGGACCTTGCCGACCAACTGTACGATTTCAGACAGATCTTCCTCTTCCTGCAGAATTTCTTTGCACTACAAAAGATGGTGTCCATATTACAAGCTCAAGTTTACATGTATGAAAATATACAGAACAATATTCACACTTGATCAGAATATACCTAGAAAACATAAAGCAAAATTAAAACTTGATCAGACTTTCAACTTGAGAAAAAAGCACAATTATAATGAATATTCAGTCTACACCAACCTTTCAACTTCAACTTATTCGAACAAAATTAAAACTTTTCTATCTGAATTTCAATTCAAATTTCAAATGGAAGTCTGGACCAAAAAAACAATTTTAATGTTTAGCTGTATTCATATTGGAGACGAACCCTCCTTAACCTTATAAGCATATTAGATGATGGGATTTTTTCACTAGACTAAGTACAAACCTTTGTTCTGAGGGGAGTGAAGTCGGGGAAGTTTTTGTCGTAGAATTCTTCTAGAGCCCATGTGTACTTGCTGTAGGAGATGAGCCAGTTAATGGCAGGGAAGTGTTTTCTCTGGGCCAACTTCTTCTCCAGACCCCAGAACACCTGTACAATACCCAGGGTTGCCGAAGTCACAGGGTCAGAGAAGTCACCACCAGGGGGAGATACACTGAAATACATACAAAGAGTGCCATAAATACTTGTACACACTCAAAACATTTTTTTTTGCATGACACACTATATATGGTGCATGTACCTTTAATCTTGAAGATATATAGTTATCTTAATCTCCAAATTGCCTATAATTCTGAATAATGAAGAAGTAACACTGACACACCAAGCAAAGACTTTTATGTAGAAATAAATCACAAGCAAATTTTATTCAATGAGAAATAAAGATGTTCTATTAAATTTATTTCTTAAACTACTCACGCCCCCACAATGCTGACACTGCCCTCTCTTTCAGGATTTCCAATACATTTGACACGACCAGCACGTTCGTAGAAGGAAGCTAAGCGAGCTCCAAGGTAGGCTGGGTAACCTGAATCAGCAGGCATTTCAGCCAGACGACCAGAGATTTCTCTCAAGGCCTCGGCCCATCGAGATGTGGAGTCAGCCATCATAGACACGTTATAACCCATATCACGGAAATACTCAGACAGTGTAATACCTTAGTGAAAAATAAGCAAACTTTAAGTAAATTAATGCTACAGCAAACTGAGGCCAAAATATCTACAGTTTTTGTTAGCCATGCACAGTATAAGATTTTGGACTGATAATCCACGAAATGCCATCTTTGATAATATACCAGTGTAAATGGAGGCCTCTCTAGCAGCTACAGGCATGTTAGAGGTGTTGGCTACTAATGATGTCCTCTTCATGATACTCTCAGGTTTACCATCCACTTCCATAGTCAGCTAAATGGACAGATACACATACATGTATGTATACTATAAAACATGCTAAGAATGAAATCTTTATGGGAAAATGGAAATGAAGTTGGATTCTCATAGAATGAATGCAAGTAATAAATTATGTTATGAAACATCCTTTTAGGTTGTAATAATTTAGGCTTCATGACCTTAATCATACCTCTGGGAAATCTCTCAATACTTCAGACATTTCATTTCCTCGTTCACCACAACCAACATAAATAATGACATCACTGTTGGAGAACTTGGACAAGGATTGTGAGATCACAGTTTTACCACACCCAAAAGCCCCAGGGATAGCGGTGGTTCCACCCTGCACACAGCTAAAAAGGAGAAAGCAAAAATGATTACTTTCAAAATTACAATCCTTCACAACAATGTCAGAAAGTAGATTTTCTCTGAAATCATGATTCTTGATTTTAAAAAAATCCAACTTCAGAAGTCATTTTACTTAATAGTTAAAAAAAATTAAACATTCTAATTTCCCTTATAGCAAATATTAAAAGGTACTGTAGATTCCTTATTTTTCACGAGTACTTATTATTGCGAAATAGCTCATGAACGTCAAATTGCGAGAACAATAATTTGAAAGTGGATTGTTGATAAGAGATTTTACAGGAATTTCAGCACTTAAAAAATATAAGCAAGTAATTTTTTTTCCCGAGTAGTGCTTCTTGTGAAATTATGCGATAATTAATTACTCGTATATATTTTGGAATCTACAGTACTCTAGGGGGCTTACACAGGTGTTGCCTTCCAATCAATATACACTTACAAATAAAATGCTACTTACTGGAGAAAAGTCCAAAATCAGAACTGTTAATATATCTTAGGTAGAAATAGTTGATGAAAAGAAATGAAGGTAGCTTACGGAAACAGAGCATCAAGCACCCTCTGTCCTGTCAGCAGGGGGTGGTTTCCAGCAAGTTTCTCTGTCACTGGTCGTAACTGACGGACAGGCCACACTTGTAACATGGTAAACTTGGACTTCTCTCCATCAAACTCTGTCTCCAACACAACATCCTAAATATACATCAGTAGAAATATAATATTAGTGAAAAGTACATGAAAATAGTGATTTATAGTTAATACATGTATTCTACCTGCCCATAAACAAGTTTCAATATATGATGCAACAACTGTATTATCTCCCTTACCATGTATAGTGCAACATTGCTTTCAGCTTTCATTTTTATTTATCAGCAAGGTATGGTGATGTAAAAATCTGTTTTGCAAGTTTAAAAATTCAGTGAAGGAAAATCATGCATACTCACATTGACATCATATTCACCAGGGTCTGCAATCCAGGTAACGGTCCCTCTAGCTTTAGGGGGGAGCATGATTTTGTGTTTAACCAGAATGTTCTCATACACCATTCCATATACATCGCCTCCTGTCACATGACTCCCAACCTGTAAGTATACATCAATTTATAAACTCTCTGTCTTGTTAAAAATGTATCAAATGTATAGTGTAATGTTACAATGCTTTACGGGTCATTTGATATGTACTGTTTATTCATAAATATCGTGCATATCCTGCATTCATTGTGGACCAACACATTTACATGTAGCTAGGACTTGTGTTTATGTCAGAATAAATCATTTCAATATACTCCTATGATACAAACTGTCCTTGCACAATTAATTACCCTAATGGGGAACTCTTCCTAATGAAAATGTGCAATTATGAAAAGTGTCTATGTACCGGTACATGGGGAAAAAATATTTTGCTTCCAAAAGCTACATCTCTGATGAACAGACTATACAGCTTTGCTGGGATTTATTTTCCTCTAATGTTAAATTAAGATTTTCATGTCTTACCCTGATGCTGCCATATGGTTCAAACTCCCATTTTTTCTGTCTGTCAAGAGCTGGAGTGTTAATACCTTTTGGAATGTAGATACTCTGTGTCAATTTGTTGATCTCTTCTAGGGGACGCTGAATACCTGAAATTACAACTTGGCACTTAAATCAAAATAATTCAAGCTTAAATGAAAAAGATTAATCAATTAATACATTGTCAACATTTACAAATAAAAATTACTAGCCAAAAAATAACCATCCTTTCACTATTCAGATATGTGCATGTATATGATAAATTAAAATCAATGTAATTTTTTTTCAATGTTCTTGAAATTCAATTGCCTATTTTGATGAGTGACTTCATAAACTTGATGTTTTGTCTGATACTAGGTTCAGTAGTAACTGGTACTTACCATCAAAGATGGAACCCATAATACCAGGACCAAGTTCTACAGACAGAGGTTTGCCTGTTCTTAGTACCGGGTCACCTACCGTAACACCAGCTGGGTACAGTCAAAGAAAATCAATCAAATACCTGTACCTCTATTTTTTTATGTTCATGCATGTATTATTATAATAATTCTAGAATTTATTTTGTTAAAGGCAGAACCACTGAGTATCATTGCAATTTTTCTTTAAAAAAAAAAATGGTTTAATGTTGCTACAAATATTTATCACATGTTCACTCCTTTATATACTGTAGTTGATAGCTGTCATATGATGCAGTTTTCTTATCAGTTTTTCTTATCAACATTTGTGACATCACAATGGGTTTTTATAAGAAAGTGATGAAGTCAAATAAAGTGGACTCATATATCAAAACAGCTCTTGAGCAATTATACGATTTTTTTGTGACTATATATGTTGAGACCACAGAAGATATTTATAATGCATAAATCTTATAAATATCATAGGTAAATTTTTATTATGTAAGGACAATAACTTTAAATCTGATCTCAGAATGTTTTGTTTTGATGAAAAGATACATGTATCCTCGTATACTTGAATGGTAGCCATGTCCCCCTCCAATCGAATGATCTCTCCTACTAGCTCAGAATGTCCTACACGTACTAACTCGTACATAGCAGCTCCAGCCATCTGCTGTGCTGTAACCACTGAAAAAGACATCAAAAGTCACAAAAATGTCAAAAATTATTAACTAAATGAAATATACTACATGTATCTAGTAAAGCATTAATCTTTTAAAAAATTTTATAATGTATTTCCTTGTACTTTAATTATTAAAACTTTTCTCCCCAGTGTTTTTCCCTTGCCTAAATTAATAGATGTACTTTTTGCATATATATTTATTATGTTTTGCTTTTAAGTACTGGTAATAAGTTCTTCAGCTGAATGACATTTCTGATAAAATATTGGCTGAGATAAATCAATGCATCTTTGATTCCACAACAGCTATAATAGTGAGAAGGTATTATGCAGGCACAAAGTTCCTACTCATAAGAGATTTCACTTTTACTGCATTCTCAAGGACAAAACTTGTAACTTAACCTGCAGGTATGTATGCTGTGATTTTTCCTTAAAATGAGAGAAACTCTTTTTTACCTGAGTGTGTGACATTAACTCTGCTTTTTCAATAAACATGATAAATCAGTACAATCTAGCTATCATGCTTACTAACAAACAATGTAGATGCCTTGCATGTCCTAGCCTACTGAATGTGCACTTCAAAGATGTTTATGTGAAATCAATGCCCTGCACATTTTAATTTGACAGAATCTTAGTAATAAGCTCTATTTTATAGAAATGACAAGCTAATCATAATTGTAAATCTTATGGCTAAAACAATTAAAAAGAAATGCCTTTTTTCTTCAACTTGGGGCATGAAAGTACATTTGAAAACTTGCAAATAGTAAACCATGGATTTGGATTTTGCATTTCTTGAAAGACTATAAATTTTATTTGACAAAAAGACTAAAGGCTATTGATCTTGTCTACTTCCAAAACTAATCCTTACTTAAGAAGTACATGTAAATATACTTTTCTAAAGCGAGAAATTAAAATAAACAAAAAACTATTTACTAAATGTTAACAATTGAAAATCTTGCACTGTACACACCGCCTGTAATGGGTTTACCATAACCTCTAAGCTGAATTCATCAGGACTGGACACAGAGTAACACTGACCCAATCTCTAGCTGTCAGGTACTTACCAGGACCAGACACTGCGAACACGTAACCAAATTTGGACTCATTTTCAGTGTCCTGGATCTTTGGCAATTTCCGTGCTCTTTCTAATCCTCCTGCCTGAGAATAAAAATAATAAATGCTGAAGTACATACCACATTAAATTGACAAGTAAACCTTGCTAAAATCCAAATCTTACCAAGTGATAATCAAACAAATTTCAGTATAAAAATATCATTTTTTTTAATGTTTGCAATAAGTTCACATGATTAGAAGGAATGTTTAAACCCCAACCCCCCTCTTGAAGACATCACAGACAAGTATCAAATTAAATAGGTTAAAAATCAACCCAGACCGACTGGTTAAAGAAAATTCAAGATTCTCTTTAAAAATCTTTATTTAAACCTGTAATGTATTTACTATAAGTAAAATTTATTAAATTTATTTATCATGAAAGTTACTATCTAATAATGATACTAAAATAAGGAGGGGGGGGGGGGTATCCTCCAACACAAATATGCTTACAGTTGTCTATAAATATCAAATTGTCGAGAAGTTAAATATCATTTTGTGTCAAATTAAAACCTTGATCAAGTACATTGCTTAATCCAATTTGAAAAAAAAAAAAACAAAACACTCATTACAAGCTATAAACTAAAGAATTTTCAAAAACTATATTCATTTGCTAAATTCAATTTTTAAAAATATATATTCATTAGAAGCTAAAGACTTTAGAATTTCCCCAAACAAATCTGCTGGTTCATTTTGGAACCAAAGTGTCCCTTTATCAATGTGACTTTGCAAAGTCAGAGAAGACAACTGCCACAAAGGTCTGAAATACCTGTGTGGTTAAGAACTGATGATAGAGCAATACCAAAAGATCAAATATTTATATACACATATCTAGGTCAGGAGAAAACTTTAGAGGACATTAGTTTATCATATTTGGGTGTTCGAAATATTTACACATATCAGAATTGCAATCAGAATAATGATTTCAAACATTACTTTGATTTTCTTAGATACAATTCAGCTTTTATTCTTACATAAACATGAATTATTTGTAATTGTCTAGTTCACAAATGCACTACCAAAAAATGTACCTGCATGTTTTCATAAGCTTAGTAAAATAACATTTGCAACAGTATAATAAATGTTTATAAGGAAAGCATCTCTAAAAATATTTTGTATTTGTATTTTCTTTTTAATTATTTATTTTTTATCATTATCTGGGGGTGGGGGTGCAGCCTACAGAAATATAAAAAAAAAACTTGTATATATGTTAACTGTGAAATAAAAAGAAAAGTTCTTTGCTTTAAACTAATTTGGCAATTTAAAGCATAAGCATCCAGCTCTTTGTAAGTCCTGATCAAGGCTAAAATGTCAAAAATAAATAAACTAACTATTTTTTTCCCAAATCTGATGTAAATTAATTTACCATTTGTACATTAATTTAAAACCATCAAAAAAATAAGTAGTCAATATGCTTTGGGATTTTGTTATCTTTTAGTCAAGTTTTCTAATTGCAAGATTAGATTTTATCAATTAAAATATATGTTTTCTTTCAGTGTTTGGAAGACGCACACATTTTATAATGGGCAAACAAATATGCATGTATCTACCCCCTGCTGGATGTGTTAAAATGTTCAATAATTAAAATCCATGTATTTGATTTCAACTAAAAGTATCTGTAGCAAAGTGTAACAAGCCAAGAGGAAGAATTCCTCAGTCTATAGATTTGGGATCAAAGTTATGGTGACCTGGTTTCAGTCAATTATCTTTAAAAAACAAACCAATCAAAGACAATTATTTTCTCGGGCTAGTAGATCCTCTGCAGGGCTGACAACTTTTACAAGCAGTCAGCCCTGCATGTCTGGCTAATTTTACGGTGAGTTTCAAACACTGTTTCTTTATATATTTTTATTCCCCCACTCAATACAGTTGAATTTCGTTATCTGGAACACTGATATCTTGAATACCATGGACATGTCAAAGTGATTTGGAAGTTCCAATTAACCCATATATTCTTTAACTATTTTACACTTACATTACAATACATGTAACAAGTACCCCCACCCCACCCCCACCTCCTTGCAATGCCCCAAATCTCTTCAGGTGAATATTTGACCTTTTGGACAATACATTCTATTTCCACTATGGAAGAGTTATACTTCTTAGTGCGCTCTTCTGTGAAAAAGTCAGAAAAAGTACAAATCTCGCAGGATTTCTGGGACAAATGTAACATAAACATGTAAACAATATGTTGGATGTCGATGAACAAACCCTAAGAAAATGCAAATGAAATATTTTATTGTTGTGGACTTTATATGCATCAAGAGTAGGAATGACAACGATATCAATTTATATCTATTGTTGCTCGTATGTATCTATTTATCGTATGGTACATCTAAATACAATACACATGTCATATTTTTTATTTATGGATGATAAATTAAGGGTTCTCGCTCTCTTACATATGTCTTTTAGTTCTTCTATTCTTTAAATGGAACGACAAATACATTTAACATTTAAAATTGGATTGAGATTGGCATGTTTTGAATTATCCGCAACACCATGCTGTCCCAGTCAAACGACCAAAAGCGTCTCTAATTTTGAATAGTTCACTATTGGAAATAGAACGTATTGCTGAATTCCTTAAATAACATCTGTTACATCTGTTACACTTATAAGATATTTTTTTTAAATATATAAATTATTTTACAGTATAATTATACAATTGAACTTTGTTATCTCAAACACAGATATCTCGAATACCATGGATATGTCAAAGTGATTGGGAAGTCCTAACCACATATTTCTTAATAAGTATTTTTCCCTCGATATCTCAAACCCTCAGATATCTTGAAGTTTTTTCGTCCCATTGAGTTCGAGATAAAGAGGTTTGACTGTAGTTATGTATTTGTTGCAGGCCACTAGTTGAGCTATTTATAACTTACAGTAGTCTAGTCATGTGCTTCTTAAAAAACGGTCCCATTGAGTTCGAGAAAAAGAGGTTTGACTGTAGTTATGTATTTGTTGCAGGCCACTAGTTGAGCTATTTATAACTTACAGTAGTCTAGTCATGTGCTTCTTTAAAAAACGTGAGAGTAAGTTTTGTTTAAAAAAGAAAAAAAGAAAATTTACGGAAACTCTTTGCATCTAACGTTTTATTTAGTTAACATTGTTATATAATTGTTGCATATGTTAGACTCATTTTATCTTCTAAGTGAAGTTTTTGACATTTAGTAGACCGATCGATTCTCAATTTATTTTGACGATGCCAAAGTAGAAATATTTTTGAAATAAGACATTGAAAAGAATCAGTTTAAAATTTTCTTAATGAAATGAAATATAAATGCCATTAGAAAAATGTATTTAGCAGGTAAATAATTGTGTAGATAGGCACTTACCATTGTGGAAGTTTGTCAGTAAATTATCATGTGATTTTATACACTTCCGGTTGTACTTGATTCCATTCAATTTCTCCCCACTTGCTCTCAACTTCTGTCTCTCAATTTATTTTTAAATATTCTTTCTTATTTTATTTTATTTGTTGAATGAATATATTTATTATGCTTTACGTGATTGTATGTTGAAATCAATCAATAAATAAATATAACATATACGTCCCTGGAGGATTTTTTAAACAATGACATTGACTTCAAGTGCCGAGGCCATGACATTATCAGATTATATAGGTTTACCTGGTTAGTATAAATGCAACGCTAAACTAAAATGATTGTTTCGACAGGGCACAACAGAACAAAAAAGAATCAGTGACAAGCAAAAAAAAAAAGGTATCGGATACTTTAAGAGACACAACCGTAAATAAGCTTTGTTTATATTTTAACGCAGATGAATTAAGTTGTTTGTTTTTTTTTTTTTTTTTTTTTTTTTTTTTTTTTTTTGTTTTTTGTGTTTCGTGATTTTTTAATTAAACCTCAAGTACACTGTATGATTGAAGAAAACCACGCGGGGCGAATCCACTCAAGGCGAACAGGGAAACGGTGCGAAACCACTCAGCGCGAACAGGCAAAACCACCCGGATTCGGAGTGGGAGGGGGTTCCCACGGCCCAGTACAAAGACAGTTTTCACAACATTTTACGTTATAATTTGCAATATAAAAATGTTTCCACTCGAGATATCAGAAATATAAATTCTGGATATCCACAATTTCACAAATCAAGTGCACCTTCTAACCAATCCGGGAAAATAAATTCCTAAAAATTTATTCTAATGCTTAGATCTCTCAAATATGGCGGTAGAATGTGTCTGTGTATATTTTTCCGATTAATTTTCTCAATTTTATAGAGAACACCGTGTAACAAAGTGTTCCAAGATGTCACAGACAACAAATGAAGTACCCATTCTTCCACATACAAGTGAAAATATTTTGGAAAATTCTCCTGTGGTCAAGAAAGGTAGAATTTGGCTAACTCATTTTACTATGAATTTTATTACATGCTCTGTGAGGGAGGAGGTAGTGATAAGCCGATGGAAGTTGGTTTTATTATTACATCGTACAATACAGAATATAATATTTATCATTTCATGTGATATAATCTTGATTTTTTTAATCACATTTTGTCACTAAGAAGTCAAAGACGAATTGCCAGCAACTTCTGTACATGTACCTGTATCATCACCACCACCAGCTCACAGTCATGGAGTTATATCTGTTGAAGGAACTCCAAAACAAAGAATCACCCAGATTATACCAACACAAATTATAGGCCATGAACCCAGAAGAACTTCATCCAGATCTATCAAACGCAAGAAGTTTGATGATGAATTAGTAGAGAGCAGTTTAATTAAAACAGAACGAGGAAGGGTAGCAAAACTTCCTACAGTGACACAAGTGCTAGAGAAAATAGAACCTGTTGAAAAAGAACAACCTCCTGTTCCCCCACCTGAAAAGAAAAAGGTGAATATGAAAAATGTATCAGAACATGTACATATGTATTTGCAATCTCAATGGAGATTTGGCTCGATTAGATATTTGGTGTGACGCCTACACCGAATCTCGGGACAGTCCTTCATAATTCACGTCTGGAAATTCAACCCCAACTTCGGCCAACTATAGCAAGAATTATTCTCCTAGGAAACAATGTCATTCGCTTCTGTTAAGTCATTTAGTTGTTTAATTAACTCTCTGTCACTATTTTTTCACATTGCTTACTGTTTAGGCATGTAAATCCCAATATAAAAACATTCACAGAAATCTCCATTCAAAATATGGCTCCTCTGACATAATTGTCTATCTCTTTGTATTAATGAGTTCCTTTATATAGTCTGTTTTCTTTTATGTGATACTGAACCTCTACTGTAGATTTTAAGTATTTTTCATAGAAATGAAAACAAAAAATTCCCCCACAAAAACTACTTATTAACTAATCATTTACAGCACAAAGATTTCCCTCTTTTACAAGCTATTTCCTGATTGAGAATGAGAAAAAAGAAATCTTTTGTCTCATTACGTTTGTGTTGTTAGTATTGTAGCATGTTACACATTCCATTCTGCACATGTGCATAATTAAGTTTATTTCTTTCAGGTTTCTAAGTCAGTCACTTCAGCAACAAAAAGGTCAAAGAAACAAAAGGTATCAACATTTTATTTATAATGATCTTAACTTGGTGAAAAAAATAATGGTACTCATCTACTTGTCCTTTATGGACTAAAACCTGAAGATGAGTAGATAGTAGATAATGTCACAACTTGCCCCAGGTCACAAGTTTAAATAAATTAATAAGTGAATATATATATATATATAGGCGTAATAAAAAAAATATGTTTGTTTACAGTTACCCGACCGACCCTGTATTTAATTGCCGACCCAAATTTTTTTTTTTTGTCATAAAAATCTAAAGTCACTCGCCGGTCAGTTTAACTTTTACACGCATCTTAATCGGTCAAGTGAAACATGGAATTAAAGAAGAAGTACAAAACAGTTTTACCATTGTGTGGTATCTGTAATGTAAGGCAGTTGGCAAGAAAGATATTGTCTATCGCCAATATGGCAAGCCCAAACAAAAGTAAAGCACCATACAATAGTATTCAACCAATTCATGTGAATTTGTGTATTAAAAAAGTAAATAGAATTAAAAAAAAAAAAAATTCATACCTACGGACCCTATTTTATTTCAGCGTGTAACAGTAAACAAACAATTTGTTTGTTTGGCCATATGTATATATATATATATATATATATATATATATATATATATATATATATATATATATATAATTCATGACACATTATACATTATGGTTCATCTACCCTTGCTATATGTACATACACAATTTTTTTAGCCACCTGCACCTGCTTCAGCAAAAGATCTTGGAAGATGGAAGGCACAAGATGATTTAGCACTAATAACAGCTGTACAGCAGGTAAATTTTAAACAAAAATATAAGAAGATGTACTATACTATTGTGCCCATTCTTTCTACAAAAAATATTTTGGGTATATTGCTATTATCCCCATTTATCCATCATTTTTTTATGTCTTCATTTTTAAAGACATATATATACCTTAAAGTGACATGTATTGGACACACTTTTTTGTGTCAGAAAATTGTTCAAAAGTTGGGTGCATGCATTACATAGGAACTAAATTCAGCCCCTTTTTTCTGGACATTTTTCTTAACTCTTAGGAGTGATTTTCACTGTTATCACATCATAACTTTATTACATATTCCCCAGTTCTTAAGTGATAGTCACGTATGACATAGATCGCCGGTAAATAAATCAACAAACAGAAATAAAAATAGATACATCCATTAAAATGATATTATTTAAAATTAAATATATATGTGTATATTAAAAAAAACCCATATTTATCTTTTTCTAATTTGTATATCATCACCACCAAATTTAACTCCACTTGACCCTAATGTAGGTCAAATTTGTTTATATATTTAATATAACAATTTCCAGCCAGTTGGTTTCGAAACAACTGCCATTTTAAACAATACACTCGTAATCAGTAAAGTTTCTTTAACAATAAATGTTTTACACACCTTTTTAATTACCTGGTATCACTTATATACATAGTGTGACACTAATTGCACTTGGGATGATTTGTTTACATAGACACAGACGTGCTTGGAATGCATTGTCAGCACAATATCATAACATGCTTGGAGTTATAGAAAAAAATGAGGGACTTAGCTTTTAATATATACCAATCAAGTAACAATTTAAATACAAACTAAACTTAAATACAAGTAAATAAAGCTTATATGTAAACTGAATTTGCCAAGAAAATTAAAAGTTGTATCCTACTTTTGTTTTTGAAATGATATGAATATTTAACTTTTTAAACTTTTTCTTTGAATTAGTTGTGCTGTGAAAATAAGAGATACATCCATATTTGCATTTTGGGGGTGCATTTTATCTAAAGGAACTGCATTTTTCTCAGGATTTTCCCCCCTTCTTTTGGGGGTTCGTCTATTACAAGATTGCGGCCTTTACACGTGACACTACGATATATACACCTTATACACTACATTCCTCAGTACTTAATAATCTAGCAGTGATGGTCTCACATTATCAAAATTTGAATCTACACTACCTTTGGAACCTTCTCTTGCCAAGTGGGAATTTAAAAAATAGAATTTTTTAACAAAGATCTCACCAAAAATTCAAAACAATTTATTAAAAGTATTATAGCTGTCATTGAGGGCAGTAAATCTGGCTTGAAACATTTAAGATTTTAAAACTTATTCACATGATTAGAATATTTTTCTGTCTGCAGACAAATGATTTGACAGCTGTGCACTTAGGTGTGAAGTTTTCCTGTCGATTTACTCTTAAAGAAATTCAAGAAAGATGGTATGCTTTGCTGTATGACCCTATAATCTCGAAGTAAGTACAAGATAAATATAGGATCTATCTTATAGGAGAGTTTATATCAAATTTATTTTAGGAGAGTATTGCTATTCGAGGTACTTTTTACAATACATGTATGATACATTGAAGCTTCATTTATTTAGATAAAATGGGGTGTTTTTATGCCCCTGGATCGAAAGATCCCGAGGGTATATTGTTTTAGTCCTGTTTGTCTGTCTGTCTGTTGTCAACTTTAACCTTACCCATAACTTTTGATTGGTTGGAGCTATGACTTTCATATTTCACACATGTGTATTCATTGTGAAAAGACCTTTCTTTGGGTACCATCATATTTGACCTTTTGACCTTGACCTTGGAGTTTGACCCAGATTTACAAAATTTTACCCAACTTTAACCTTGGCCATAACTTTTGAACAGTTGGTGCGAGGGCTTTCATACTTCACATGTGTAATTCTTGTGACAAGACCTTTGTTTGGATACCAACAACTTTGACCTTTTGATCTTGACCTTGGAGTTTGACCTACTTTTGGAAAAATTTAACCTTGGCGATAACTTTTGAACAGTTGGTGCTACAGCTTTCATACTTCACATATGTAATCCCTTTGACAAGACCTTACTTTGGATATCAACAATTTTGACCTTTTAACCTTGACTTTGGAATTTGACCTACTTTTGATAAACTTTGAACTTGGCCATATCTTTTGAACAGTTGGTGCTAGAGCTTTCATATTTCACATGTGTATTTCTTGTAAGAAGGCCTTTCCTTGGGCACCATTAATTTTGGACCATTTGACCTTGATGTGTGACTTACCTTTGAAAATATTTAACCTTTTTCATATCTTTTCAATGGTTGCTACTAGGGCTTTCATATTTCAAAGGTATATTCCTGGGGACAAGAACTTACTTTGGGTACCAACATATTTGATTTGCATTTGAAAAAGTTTATCCTTTGCTAAATGTTGCATACAGGGGGGGGGGGGGGGGGGCATCAGTGTTTCACAAACACATCTTGTTTTTTTCTTTGTTGTTGTTTTTTTTTTAAATTTTTTATTATTATTTTTTTTTTGTGTATGTGTCCTGACCGTCCTTATAACAGAAGTGTAACAAAATTTCTGTGTTAACCAGGTTAGCAGTGCAGGCCATGAATCAGATTCACCCAGATGTGATTGCAGAGGTTCAGTCCAAAGCTCTCTATAGTAAAGAAGAGGAGTCATTATTGGGAACAATTGCATCTGTATGTGTTGTATCTGTCAGACACATATGTTATCAACAATCTAAAAAAATGAAAATGTTTCTTCCATGTGCTGACAAAAAGAAATATAGAAGGAACAGTTGAAAAGTTCTGAGAATAGTTTGCTAAAATATTAACCATTTAATGAAAGTTTAATGTTTTTGATATCATTGAAAAGAGCAGGAGAATATGAAATCATACATGAAATTTTTATCAAATTATTTTTTTCAGTCAAGTCAACCAAGTTTGGAAACCTTCCAGGATCTCTTAGAGCAGAATCCGGACACATTTTATCCGCTGCGGACAGCGAAGGCTTTACACAATCACTGGCTGCTGCTAAAACAGTATCATCTCCTGCCAGACCAGTCAGGTACTGTGTGCAATTGTGCTTCACAATGTAACTTAATTTTATGATATCAAAGTGCTACATACATTCATGTATCTTACACAATATTATTGTGTCAAAATATGCTTATAGTAAAGTGCAAGGGACAAACAATTTCAATTCTTTATGTACATGAATCATTATGTCTGTAAACTTTTTTAAATCTATGGTGAATGAAACCCACTTTCGCTGTAAGGTTAAATGCATTATAAGCATGTTTGCTGTTTCCATATTTTACTGCATCTGTCTTGTGAATAAAATGTGTCACATACATTTGTCACATGGTATAATTGTGTAATTTATCTTTCAAATACATGTACATGTTGTATGACTGTGTCAAATCTATCTGTAATGGAACATACACGAGTCAGACATTGTACATGTTATGAGAGTATAGAACCTTATTTAGTATCATAATTATGGGAGGTTGTTCAGAAAGTCTTTCTACATTGCTCGATTTTTTGCTCTACTGGTCAGAGACCGGAAGAGCTTATGCGATAGTAAGGAGTCTGTCGTCCGACTGTCTGTCTTTATGTCTGTCTGTAAACAATTTTCAAAATGGTACTCCTCCTACAGTTTTGGTTTGATTTCCATATAACTTGGTACGCAAGTAGAATACACTAAGATGCATAATTTTATGCATTGGTTTTTGATTTTAATGAACAGTGTTGCCATGGTTACTAAAAGTAGAAATTTCTATGAAATTCCTTTAAAATGCTACACCTCCTACAGTTTTGGTCTGATTTCAATATAACTTGGAACACAAGTAGACTACACTAAGATACATAATTTAGTGCATTGGCCTTTTGATTTTGATGAACAGTGTTGCCATATTTACTAAAAAAAAGAAATTTTTGTGAAATATTTTCCAAATGCTAATCCTTCTACAGTTTTTAGCTCACCTGAGCTGAAAGCTCAAGTGAGCTTTTCTGATCACATTTTGTCCGGTGTCCGTCTGTCTGTCCGTCTGTCTGTCTGTCTGTAAACTTTTCACATTTTCGACTTCTTCTCAAGAACCACTGGGCCAATTTCAACCAAACTTGCCACAAAGTATCCTTGGGTGTAGGGGATTCAAGTTTGTTCAAATGAAGGGCCACGCCCTCTTTCAAGGAGAGATAATTAGGAATTAGTGAAAAAATAATGGCATCATTTAAAAATCTTCTTCTCAAGAACCATAGGGCCAGGAAAGATGAAACTCACTTGGAAGCATCCTCAGGTAATGTAGATTCAAGTTTGTTCAAATCATGACCCCTGGGGGTAGGTGGGGCCACAATGGGGGATCAAAATTTTACATAGAAATATATAGGAAAAATCTTTAACAATCTTCTTCTCAAGAACAGCAAAGTCATGATGAGTCATATTTATATGGGAGCATCTTCAGGTAGTGTAGATTCAAGTTTGTTAAAATCACTACCCCTGGGGGTAGGGCGGGGCCACAGTGGAGGATCAAAGTTTTACATAGAAATTTATAGGAAAAATCTTTAAAAATCTTCTTCTGAAGAACAGCAAAGCCATGATGAGTAATATTTATATGGAAGCATCTTCAGGTAGTGTAGATTCAAGTTTGTTCAAACCATGACCCCCGGGGGTAGGGCGGGGCCACAATGGAGGATCAAAGTTTTACATAGAAATATATAGGAAAAATCTTTAAAAATCTTCTTCTCAAGAACAGCAAAGCCATGATGAGTCATATTTATATGGAAGCATCCTCAGGTAGTGTAGATTCAAGTTTGTTCAAATCATGACCCTGGGGGGTAGGGCGGGGCTGCAATGGACTGTCAAAGTTGTACATAGAAATATATAGGAAAAATCTTTTTCTCAGGAATAGCAAAGCCCAGATTGTTCATATTTATATGGGAGCATCCACAGGTGGTGTAGATTTAAATTTATTCAAATCATGACCCCTGGGGGTAGGGTGGGGCCACAATGGAGGATCAAAGTTTTACATAGAAATGTATAGGAAAAATTTTAAAAATCTTCTTCTCAGGAACAGCAAAGCCCTGATTGATCATATTTATGTGGAAGCATCCTCAGGTAGTGTAGATTCTATTTTGTTCAAATCATGACCCCCGTGGGTAGGATGGGGCCACAATGGAGGATCAAAGTCTTAAATAGAAATTTATAGGAAAATATCTTCTTCTGAAGAACTGCAAACCATGATTAGTCATTTTGATATGGAAGCATCCTCAGGTAGTGTGAATTTAATTTTGTTCAAATGATGACCCCCAGGGGTTGGGTGGGGCCCATTGGGGAATCGAAAGTTTTACATAAGAACATATAGAAAAAATATGTCTTCTCAAGAACAGGAAAGCTATGTTTAGTCATATTGATATGGAAGCATCCTCAGGTAGTGTAGATTTAAGTTCAAATGATGACCCCTGGGATAGGGAGGAGCCACAATGGGGGATCAAATTTTTACAAAGGAATATATGGGAAAATTTTTTAAAAATCTTCTCAAGTACAACAAAGCCATTTATTATATTGACATGGAAGCATCATCAGGTAGTTTAAAATTCAAGTCCCCCCCCCCCCCCCCCCGGTAATCTTTTCAATACTGAACTGATTTGTGCTTTTGCCTAGCCAATGTGCTCAGGTGAGCGATGTGGCCCATGGGCCTCTTGTTGTCTTATTTCAATATAACTTGGCATACAAGTAGACTACACTAAGATACATAATTCTGTGCATAGGTTTTTAGCTCACCTGAGCTGAAAGCTCAAGTGAGCTTTTCTGATCACCTGTTGTCCGTCGTCTGTCCATCTGTCCGTCCGTCCATCCGTCTGTAAACTTTTCACATTTTCAACTTCTTCTCAAGAATTACTGGGCCAATTTTAACCAAACTTGGTACAAAGTATTCTTGGCTGAAGGGGAATTTAAATTGTTAAAATAAAGGGCCAAGTCCCCTTCCCCTTACAAGGGGAGATAATTAAGAAAAGACAAAAATAGGGTGGGGTCATTAAAAAATCTTCTTCTCAAGAAAAGCTAAACTTATGTGGAAGCATCCTGGGGTAGTAAAGATTCTAAATTGTTCAAATCATAGACCCCCGGGGTTAGGGCGGGGCCACAATAGGGAATCCAAGTTTTACATTGAAATATATAAGAAACATCTTTAAAAATCTTCTTCTCAAGAACTACTGGGCCATAAAAGCTAAAACTTATGTGGAAGCATCCTGGGGTTATGTAGATTTTAAATTGTTCAAATCAGGACCCCGGGGGTAGGGTGGGGCCGTAATAGGGAATCCAAGTTTTACATTGAAATATATAGGAAAAATCTTTAAAAAATCTTCTTCTTAAGAACCACTGGACCAGAAAAGCTAAAACTTATGTGGAAGCATCCTCAAGTAGTGTAGATTCTAAATTGTTCAAATCATGACCCCCGGGGGTAGGGCGGGGCCACAATAGGGAATCCAAGTTTTACATTGAAATATATAGGAAAAATCTTTAAAAATCTTCTTCTCAAGAACCACTGGACCAGAAAAGCTGAAACTTATGTGGAAGCATCCTGGGGTAGTGTAAATTGAAAATTGTTCAAATCATGTTCAAATCATGACCCCCGGGGGTAGGGCTGGGCCACAATAGGTATTACAAGGGAGAAATCTGGTAAATAACAGTATGGCCAAAGTTACTCAGGTGAGCGATGTGGTCCATGGGCCTTTGTTGATTTTTTTTAGCAGTGTTGCCCTGGTTTCTAAAAATAGAAATTTCTGTGAAATACTTTCAAAATGCTACTTTTCCTACAGTTTTGGTCTGACTTCAGTATAACTTGGGACATAAGTAGACTACACTAAGATACATAATTATTTTTATTGATTTCTGTTTTTGTTGTTTTTTTTTTTTTTTCATTTTAACAGATTGATACAGTATAAATGATTTTCAAGCCTACATGTAATTGAATTCAGAATCCTGGAATTGGCCATAGAAATTGTTTTAAGATTATTTTTTTTTTAAATTACAATGGGAAATGTCGACTGTTAAATCTGCATTAAGGGATGCAAATAACAAATGAGAAGATACTAGTATTTATTCCCTAATTATAATTTTATTGACAGTTCAACCAATTCCTCGTGGGGACCATGTTCTTAATTTTTCTGATGCTGAGGAGATGATGAATGATGATGATCTCAAGTAAGATGTATTAAGTTTACAAAAATTTATATTTTACTACAATATAACTTTTATATTACAGTCTGCAAATCCACTATAAACATTTGTATGCAGAACTTCACATTTTATACAATATTTGCAATTTTTTTCTTAATATTGCAGAGATCCAAAAGATGACATCCTAGAGCAAGGTAAATTATATTTATTATGTATAAATTTTTAGCTCACCTGAGCTGAAAGCTCAATTGAGCATTACTGATCAAATTTTGTTTGGTGTCATCCTTCTGTAAACTTTGTTCAAATGAAGGACCATATCCCATTTCAAGGGTAAATAATAAAAAAAAATAGTGAAAATTTAACATTTTTTTCTCAAGAAGAAATGGGCCAGAAAAGTTGAAACTTATATGAAAGCTCCTTTATATAGTGTAGATTTGATTTTGTTCAAATCATGACCACAGGGGTAGGGAGGGGCAATCAATGTTTTATGTAGGAATATATAGGAAAAAATCTTATATAACTCTTCTTCTCAATAGGAGCAAAGGCATGATTAGTTTATATGGAAGCATCCTCATGTAGTGTAGATTAAAATTTGTTCAAATCATGGTCTCGGGGGTAGGGTGGGGACACAATAGATGATCAAATTTTTCCATAGGAATATAGAGGGAAATAAAATCTGCTGAGGAAGAATACTCAGGTGAGCATTGTGGCACATTGGTCTCTTATTTGTGTATTGAATTCAAATATGATGAAAATAAAGAAGGTATTCAAAGAGCTACGTACACTTTATCCATAAAATGGCCTCATCCATATACTAATTAACTGACCAAGTCCCAATGTCCCATTTCAAAACATCAGTGTAAAGTAGAAAATTAGTGCTTTCATTTCCTATTTTTAAAAAAAAGGTTCCTCTGAGAGTCCAGGATATTGAAAAATATGCTTTGTGAAGTTGAAATGTTCTTGAATTTTGAAGAAAATGGGTGTATTTGAGTACATTCAGCAAGAAATTAAAATATGACCCTCGATCCAAAAAATTAAACATGGATTAAAATCTGAAATACAGTTAAACTTCGTTATCTCGAAGTTGACGGGACCGTTGATGAACTTCGAGATATCCGGGGGTTCGACATATCGAGGGTTATAATTCAAATGAACTTCAAATAAACTTGTACTTAATAGTAAAAACATGTCAGGTTCCGTTTTTGTTCGAAATTTTGTATACAATTTCTTTAATATACCTGTACATGTTTTAAGCAATCAAAAAAAAAAAAAATTACACCCTCATTATAATTCACAAAATAAAAGGCTTGTATAATATGCACAGAAGTATAATCCTTCTACCAACACGGCAAAGTCAACCGCTAGCATCGGGCGCACTTGTTTCATAAGCCGGGTCAAGCCGGCAGATACTTCCGGAAGCGGGCAAGTAACTTGTTTCAAATATTTTTAAGCCGCCGGGCGGTCAGAAAGTAGCCCGGATCGCCCGAAAAAATTCGAGCGGCCAGATGAAAAGCAATATGGCGGAAAACGGAGGTAGAAATTTCTTTGATGATGAAATATTCGTTTTTTATCATTTGCAGTGGTTTCAATTTTAATAAACATACAGTACTGAGGTCATAAGTAACTTTTACGAAATGTTCGTTTATATTTGCACGACCAACACTTCCTTTTTATAATTTTAAAGTTACTTTTCAGTTTTGTTTGTAACGAGGCCCTGTACTACAAATTAAGAGATTGTGCATTGGATTGATCTAGAAAATACTAAAATGCAAATATATCCACTAAATCGTTGTCCTCGTCCGTTCAGAGAAAATTATATATTGCAGAAACAGCACCCATAACAGTAGCAGCCATTTTTCGGCTGAATTTTCACTCGTTTCAGCGACACTAACCGGGTCAGTATGTCATGTGATAAAAGTGAACCGGGTCATCGCCCGGATGTCTGAAACAAGTGCGCCCATCGTTTCCCATGTATACATAACCGGATATCGTCTATGCATTGTAAATTTAAAACCGGTCGCTGTCAGAATAACGAAATATACATTTTCTTTTATTGGAAAAACATGTTCACACATGTAAAATCAGTTAAAAGAAAATCATTTTACCATAATAAAAATCAAATGCAAAAGAAGAATCACGCACTTTTGTCTAACAACAGAACGACACTGAATCACAGGGCACTACAGCACAAGTTTTTCACTGCGACACACGCTCACATGATGGTGTGTACGGACGATTGTAAATTCTGCACGCTCATATAGGGAAAATAAATTCTAACTGCATTGAATTTGAGAATTTTGTTTTACTTCGATGTTTATAATTTTCACTTTCATATCCATAAACTATGTATGCCCGCATATTTCGCATAGCATTAAATAGCGATTATCAAGATATATGTACCCAAGCCACAAAACAATTAACGTGTCATCCACGGGTATGCATTAGACTAATACACACAACCTTTGGCTTGCATAATTACAATCAAGGTAAGCCATACATACCCTTCATATAATTATCGCGCTATTATCTGTTGATCACAGGAACACAGGTAACCCGAGCATGACAGACAGGTGGGTGTTATCAATAGAGCATTCAGTTTACCTAACGGACTTGATCATCAAAGCAGAAAATTATCCTGACTTCGAGAAAATGCATGTGATTTTAATGAATGGGTACACAATTTTACTTCGAGATAACCGGGGTATTCGACATTACCGTGTTCGACATAGAGGGGTTTATTTTAATCATTTATTAAGCAAATTTCGTCGGGACCGCGGCCTTACTTCGACATATCCGGGGTATTCGAGATATCCGTGTTCGAGATTTCGAAGTTTAGCTGTAGTTCTTTCATAAAATAATTGAACATTTTGGATCAGGGGTTGGGGTCTATGCATAATAATGAAAAACACCTTAAATTTTTTACCAATTTGAAGAAATATTCAGGATTTTAGGATAATGACGCAAATCATGATGTCATAATACATGGAATATTGAGAAAATTACATCATTTTAAATAGATATGCAGTCACCAGGGGTACGAGTGAAATCTAACATATTTTCAGCTAAAACTAAGCAGTTTTGATTTTTCAGAAATTTACAGGGCCAAAAAATGGCCCAAAGTGAACTTTCTTTAAAATAGATTTTTATGTGCTAAAACATCTAGTATGTAGTGTAGTCTGTGACTTAGAGATGTTAAAGTTTAGGTTTGGTGAAATTGACATGATATCATTGTTCATTATATTAGATGAGTAAAAGTAGCAATATTTGGTACACATGAGTAGTAAACACAGATTTGGATTTTATAATTGACATTGGAAAAGTACTGAATGGTATTTATATGTAACCACCACCACTTTTATAGATATGCATTGTTTATCATTTGTTGAATAATTTAATTGATGACCAACTTTGAAATGTTAGGAATGTACAAATATAATAATAGTGTGATTTTTTTGTAGAATTGTCTGTGGCTGACAGAAGGAACAAGAATGAGATTCGTCACTTAGAACAGGAACTTCCAAAATGGCAGGTATTGGTGGACAGTGTTACAGGTAAGCTCATTTCATGTACTGTCAATATATTCAATATCTATGATCATTGTAGGAAAATTCATTTCATGTACTGTAAATATATTCAATATCTATGATCATTATAGGAAAATTCATTTCATGTACTGTCAATATATTCAATATCTATGATCATTGTAGGAAAATTCATTTCATGTACTGTCAATATATTCAATATCTGTGATCATTGTAGGAAAATTCATTTCATGTACTGTCAATATATTCAATATCTGTGATCATTATAGGAAAATTCATTTCATGTACTGTCAATATATTCAATATCTGTGATCATTGTAGGAAAATTCATTTCATGTACTGTCAATATATTCAATATCTATGATCATTATAGGAAAATTCATTTCATGTACTGTCAATATATTCAATATATCTATGATCATTATAGGAAAATTCATTTCATGTACTGTCAATATATTCTATACCTAGGACCATTATTGTCCATATCTTTTGTAAAAATATACTGGTTATATGTTTGTGTTTTTTAATTAGTAAATCCAATTCATAAATATGGTATGTATTCAGGTTTCATATTTGTTGAATTTTGTAGTCAAAACCTTTAAAAAAGTTGTTTAAAATGAAAATTAAAATGTTAGGAACCAAAAGAAAGTGAAATGAGGATATTGAGCAGGGTTTACATTTTAACCATGGCACCACATATATATGCACATATTAATGGGAATTAAACAGTAATGGTAACATTACTACATGTTTATGACATTACATTGTTGTTTACTGTAATTTGTAACCTGCAGGAATCAGTCCACAAGACTTTGACAACCAGACATTGGCTGTACTGAGGGGAAGACTTGTCCGCTACTTAATGAGATCAAAGGAGGTATGCAAGACATTTTGTAGGATCTACATACAAAACAAACATTTTACATATGACACATGATGATATAATAAGATTTGTGAAGAATATGAATCTTGCAGCTAGAGATACATGTATTAGATAAATTTGGAGGTAACTTCCATGTAAAGAACATGTCAGTTTTTATCTAGACAAGGAGATTTAATAGGAGTATGTTGGGAAAAGTAGATAAATTATTAAGTGGGCACATAAAGGAAAAATAGCTACCAATTTTTGTACTACATGTATGTCTTCTTATTGTAAATATGTAGGTAGATATTTGAAATAAATAATAACTCTCACCTTTATTCAGTTTCTAGTCTAAAATTCTAGTCTAAAAGAATAAGTGTTGAAATTTATTACAGCAATGGACATACAGAAATATACATGTCAATTTTGATAGAGAAAAGACTGTATTATAGTTGAAGATTTACATATATAAAATTTACAAATATGATTTTACATTCTACTGTGAGGGTGTTTGCCAGTTCTTCTGGTTTTTAATGATGAATTGTTTTAATTCTAGATTACATTAGGAAGAGCCACTAAAGACAATCAGATAGATGTAGATCTATCTTTGGAGGGTCCAGCATGGAAAATTTCCCGTCGACAAGGAATCATCAAACTCCGAAGTAATGGTGATTTCTTCATCGCAAACGAGGGAAAACGTCCTTTTTATGTTGATGGCAAAGCCATATTGGCTGGTAACAAACAAAAGTTAAACAATAATTCAGTTGTAGAGGTACGTGCTTCTTGATTTCTTAGTTCTGTGTTTTATTTTCTCTCTGTTTCACAAATAAAGTATAAAAAAATATATATAAATGCAGTGGAACATAGCAAAGAGGATTAAGTAAAGTCCCCACATTAGAGAAATAAACACACACAGCATCTTTTTTTAAAAAAAAAAATGGAAATGGGAATACATTTTAATCTGCATTTTAAGTAACTAAGCTGCAACTGATAGAGCAGTTTATATTAAAACACACTGATGTATAATTAAAGGATTTTTTTCTAAATAACAACACATCCTTAGATTCACAGTCTTCCAACAAGATAACAGAAATTCTATTTCTGTAAATATTTACCGATCTGTTAAATTCACAGTACATGTAGTTGGTAAAATTAACAAGATTGGCACTAAAAAGGCATCAGCTTATTCGGATGGATACAGTCAAAACATATTTCAGTAGTCAGTACAAACTTTTCCTCAAATTAAGCCAATGTGAGATGACAATAGAGTACTTAGCAATGTTTTCTGAAAAAGATGGGAAAATTATGATTTAATGAAAGAATCTAATATAGTGTTCCCTGTAATATTTCAGATCTCTTGCCTGCGCTTTATTTTCCTGATTAACCAAGACCTTATCAATGTGATACGGACAGAATCTCAAAAGCTTGTACCAACCTGAGGCCAGGAATTTCTGGGTGTTTGAAATGCAAATCTGGTGGAAATTTTCTTGTAGGAAATAGACTGTGAATTTGCTAAGTAAACTGGCATTGTGAGAATGGTGACCATACTTTATAGCATATTTTATGAGACTGAGTGTCATTTATGCCAAAGTTTGAACAGTCACGAGGAATTAAAATGACTCTTTGTAAGGATGCGTTTAGTTCATGTATATTATCTCTATGAGATTATAAAAAGGGAGAAGTGTGCATGTGTAAACTTGACATTGGATATGTGTGTTTTGTTGTAGTTTTCTCTGTTAAATGTGTGTAAATTATAGTGAATTTATAAAGGAAATAAATATTGTCAAAGTAACTGTCCCATTAGTTTTATTTGTAGTTCCATAAATGCAAGTTTTAGCACTTCTGTACAAAGGACAGAAAGGCACAAATATTGATCCATTTGTTTTTCTTGATTTTCACACATTTATTACTTCAAAATTTACTGAAGGGCTCATTTTTGGTTCCTTTCTTCATTTTGGCTACCCAAGCATTTTCAGTAAGTTCTGTATAAATTTATGGGATGTAGAAAGGCCCAAAAAGCATTGGACTTTCTTTTGTTTTTGCTCCAGTTTTTGACGTCACATATTCTTTTTATTAGGTAGACTAGGTATCACACTGCACAATGCTGTGTGATGATAAATTTTAGAAACTAAATGCATACCGATTCAACAAATGGATTGTTCATCCATATATATACCGATATATTTTGAAGTATTGCAAAGGCGTAGACACATGGATTTTCACATTCATGACTTCCAACACTCTCGTCTCTCCTTTACATTGTGCATTTTATTCCCATAGAATGGGATACAAAATTACCTTAAGTGCGGGGGACATTCATGTCCAAAAATAAGTGTTACCCGCCGTCTTTCCGTCCGTCCTGACCAACCATCGAGTTGAACAATATGTATTAATAAATTTAAAGCATTATTAAATTGTTTATAAATATATGTTATTTTTCTATTTATTTTTTAATTGAATTTTCACACTTTTTTGGATTAGATTTTTTAAAAACGCGATGTTATTTCTTGCTATGAAATTTTCATAAAAAGTTCAAAAAAGTATGGTAAAATTTTAAAGCAACTGCCTTTTATGTGAAAAAGTAAGGGCAGTAACTCTAATATCAAATGACGATTTGTTAATATTACACTTAATACATGTGTCCACTAATTTTTTGGATGTAATATATTATTTTCTTATTAATTATTCACCTTCCGCTTCATTTATAGAATGAACGTCTGTAAAATGGTTTAACCTTCGCTGACTTTGTCAATTAATCGGAAATCTTAAGTCTATTTGTCTACCACAAACTATTGTCATTACTAGGGGGATTTTAATATAATTTGGCATTCATTCATTCTTCTACTTCCTCATGTGTAGATATTGAAGTATAAATTAACATACAACACAACAAACAGACATGTATACACACAAAACATAATAACAATACTCTTAAGAGGAAGTGTTGGAAATGAATCAGTTTTTAAAAAGTCGTTAGAATAAGAATAGCAGTATGATGTGTCTGACAGGTAGGGAAGCGACATCTGAGCGAGATCCCTGTGGTATTGAGCTGTTCCGCTTCGAAAAAGATTGAAATTCAATGTTTCATTATCTGTTTCGTAAGTTGTAGTAGAGCCCCCAGAAGAATTAAAGTTTCATTTTCTGTCAAGCTGGATAACCGTGCACACAGTTGTATGTAATAACGTTCCAACAACTATTTCAATTTGCAGTTTTCCCATATTAAATGGGATATAAAATTAATTAAGAAGCGGGGGACATTCATGTACTATAAAAGTGTTAGGGGCCCGCTTTCCGTCAGGTACGATCAATCAGGGGCCTGTTTCACAAAGGTTTACTAAGATGTGTCGTAAGATATAACTTGAAGCTGTAAGATATGCCTAAGTTATAACTTAGGAAGTTCGTAAGATTTGCCACGGCTGTTTCACGAAACAATCTTATCTTAAATTTATCTTAAGACATTTCTTAAGTTGTGTTACGGACTAATGAAATAACTTCTCCACTCTATCTACAATTCTTAGCATACTGTTAGGAGGATGTCAGTATGAGTAAAAATCTTTAGTTTGAATCGGGTTTTTTGAAGTAAAAAAAAAAAGCTTGAAAAGGGGAGGGTTAGGGGTTCCCTCCACTTTCAAAGGACTTGGACAGAAGTATGGTTTAACCTTGACAAGTTTCCTACTTAAACTAAGCACTCACACATCCTCACACACACACACACACACGCACGCACACAGTGACACACATACCCCCCCCCCCCCAGCACAAGACGTGTATTTTTTAAACTAATTTTTTAAATTATAAAATTAAAAAAATAAACTAATTTTTAAACTAAATTTGTGCTTTTATATGTTTGCCTTTTATTTTGCTCTGTATAAGGTATCGGAGGTTTGCAATTGTTTATTTTTCCCCCCTACTATATATTTTTATCCCATGTTTACCCCTTTATCCCGTGGATATGACTCATTGGATATTTTTTTCATAATCCACAGTTAAGTGCAGTTGTGACGTCACAATGGTTTTTGCGTTAGCGTGATGAAGTAAAATAAAGTGGAGTCCTATATAAAACAGTGTAAAACATTGGTTGTGAAGTATTAAACATGGGATAAAAAGAATCTCCCATGATTTGTAGTTGGATATGACTTTTATCCAACTCGTGTGTTTTTATCCCCTCGCCAAGGCTCGGGGATAAAAAAAACACACAACTCGTTGGATAAAAATCATATCCAACTACAAATCATGGGAGATCCTATATTTCTACTAGTATCGTTTCAATTAGGAAATGGAATAAATTTAAAACAATAATTGCTTCGAAGGGCAAGCAATCTAACAGAGGCCTTATTTTCTTTTTATTTCTTCTCGAATTAGTGCTCCACGTTAGTTGTCTGTGTTACTGTGTAATTTAAAACAAGAATTTTTCGATAGATAAGAAATTCCAAATTCGCGACTGTGGAAATGACAACACTAACAGAAAAAGTTGAAAAAAGGAAATTTATTATAATCTTCATGCATAATTATACCATGACAAATCAGCGGGACCTTATATTATGTAACACAACATACATTTGTTCAGGGGAAGAGTTGAAAAGAAGTGGAGTCATTAAGCGGAAACAGGGAAAATGGTCCAAGTCTTGCACTTCAACACCTCCTTCCTCGCATGGGAGATAAGATACAAGCGATTTTTGGAGACAGCTATATCAGGAGCTGAAGAGAACAAATTTGTTTCCTTATCAAACTATAATCTTTCAAAGACTAAATATAGATTCAAATACTAGTAATATTATATTAGATTCAAAAATATATAATAATGGTTCAAATTACATGCAAAGTTTTGTAACACAGGCAATAGTGTATATAGCGTGGAATTTTTTTGTTTACAAAATCGTGCTCTTTAAATGAAGGGGAATTAATCCAACATGTGCACCATCCATTTTGTAGTAACATTGCATGGGAAATCCACGAATTCGCGAGAAATCAAACATTCTGTAAGTACAATGTATTTGTAGAAGTGTGAGAAAAGTAGTTCGATCTATTAATCACGAAGTTTTGCTTTCGAGAAAAATATTAAGAATATTAGAAATAATAAAGCAATAATACACGCCATGTATCTATTGATTTCTGAAGTCTCTCTTTATTTAACCTTGCTAATTATGTGTTCACCTTCCACTAACGGAAGGTCTGCAAAATTAACTAAAAGCGGGTTTAACCCTCGCTGACTTTGTCAATTAATAAGTAATCACTTTGTCTATCCGTCTACCTCCAAATGTACGTTACAAGGAGGATTTTCGATACAATTTGGCATAGAATTTTGTGAGTAGAAAATCAAAACTTGTTTTCAAAAACATTATACCATTAGAAATAAAAATATTTCAAGATTTGTGAAAAAATACATAATTTATATAATCTTGTTTAATTTTTTGGGTTTATTTTTAAAATCTAATACGGCTAATTTACAATCATTTCACAATGATAATCAATATAAGGTACGTAACTCTAAATTATATCTGTAACAGAGAGTGAACGGAGAACTCCGAGGAGACATACCAATCCAATATTTATTTACTAGATCTTGTAAACATCCTTCTTGAAATCTGAATTCAGCATTGAAATACCAATATAAGCTCTTAATTATTATTTTAATATTTTTAATGTTTTGTTTTTTTTTCAGAGAAAATGGAAAAAGAAATATTTTGATTGCCAGCAAGACACTCTAGAGCTCAAAATGTCCTGTTAATTGATGCATGATATAAATATGTGGGTCATTCGAAAAATGCGTAGACTTTTGTCATGATAATATTTTCATATAATTTAATTTTTTTTTAAAAATCAAATACGTGGGGAAAAATTTTAAATGTTCAAATCTAGAATTGTAACATCATTTCAGATGCTAAAATATGATGTAATATAATGCTTCTTTGAAAAGAAGTCCGGTACAAGCATAAAAAGATTTCAGAATTTCTAAGATTTAAACTTGGTTTACTGAAAAAACTAAAATTCACTGTGTTGAGGGATATTTTGTCCCAGATGTATATTTCTTTTATCAGACCACAACTGGAATACGCTGTTGAAGTTTGGTCTGGATGTACAAAGGCAGGCATTAAAAAGCTTGAGAAATTTCAATTATTTGCTGCTAGAATAGTAACTGGTCTTATACTTATTGCTTCCAAAAATTAACCATATTTGGAAACTGGTTGGGAACCTTTGGAAAATAAGAGAAATCGAGCTAATCTAGTAATAATGTACAAAACATACAACTAGTACCTATACTACTTACATTCAAAGTATAGTACCTGATATAAACGGCAATATTTCACAATACTCTACTCGAAATTCTTCCAGCTTTTCCTTGCCAAAATGCAGATTAGAATTATTCAATGAATATTTTATTTCGGACACAGAAGGTGGAAGGCAATATTAATCTAAACACAGGGGAGCCAACTTCCATTAAATTTTTTTTTTAATTGTCATCCTCCAAATAATTTCTCTTATGTTACACAAGTGAACTTGTGATAAAAATTTATTTTAATGAAAGTTAAGCAATAAAAGGTGAATGTTTGTATTTTGAAAAGTAATTCATGCAAGATCACATATAACAAAGGAGAATTCGATTCACACAACTACACACACACACACGTTTTTGTTCTAAAACTCGGAATAGTCCAGAGTAAAACTTTGTTTTCCTGATGACGGAATGTCCAGTACATCTAATATTCACGTCCGGGATTGTCCACGGCGGTTCTAACACTGGTCCTCTCACACATCATACGGCATTCACTCAAACTTCAATTAATACATTTAC